TCCTCATTAAGTTTCGATAATCTTTTTCACTCGAGGCTATCGTAGACAAAATCTCGAATGAGATCTTTTTTTTTCGTGTGATATGAAGAATGTTCCTTTGTGTTTCCCTCGAAATTTTACGAATACATTCGAATTATTCGGTATCCCGATCAGAGAAATTCTGCGCGTGCGATATTTCGTTTGATTTTCCGTTATTTTTATATATTTTTGTTTCATTATTTGTATAATCAAAGAATTTTTTTAAAAATTTGAGTCCCAGAAAAATTTCTAATAAAATATGGTATCCAGCAAAAATAACAGCTAAAAAAAATGTCTATTAAACTTCCCCAATTTTTGTAGATATAAAAGAAATTTCTAAAAATAAGGTACCATTGAAAGAAAACAGATTTTTTTTCCAAGTCATCCAGATACAAAAGAAATTCTCTGAAAATGGCTATTGAAGAAAAATAGATTTCTTTCAATGACTGAAAAATAGATTTCTTTCAAGACTTAAAAAAAGGTTAACTACAATATTTTCTTGTCAAGAGAAGAAGAAATAATGATTGAATACAATTGTAGGACAACGCGTACAAGTATATTTTATCTCGTAAATAAATTCATCTAAAATGCAATCTGTTTTAAGTTTGCATTTCTGCCCGTTCCAAGAATTCAGTGGTGCATCCTGGCACTGTGCCGTGCAAAGTCGAAGGTTCAAGGTCGCCAGAAAAGTTCGGTGAAAGGAGCAATTTTTTACCGAGACCTCGCTCGACTAGTTAGCGGCGAATCAACGAATTAGATGCAGTTTGCATAAATTAAAATTAAAAAGAGCGTACGCACCTTGCAGGATAATGAATGTTTTTTTTTTCAATCCCTACACCGATCGAAAAAAATTCCAACAGAGAGACTATACAGACCGTATATATTTTTCACGTTATATTTTTCATTTATTTGGGCTATCGTGCACCTATCTATCTTTGTCAACATTTATTCGCAAGATTCGATTTCGAGTGATCAACGCGCGATATGTCGATGGACGGCGATAGTTGTCAACGTTACACGTGTGGAAAGAAAAAAGAATTACATTACTCTTGTCGACGGCGCGGAAGGGAAACCTTGGAGGGTCGAAGTCGCGCTATTATTATTGACGTCGAATTGGTTACGAGAGAGCATGTGTCTCGCTCTCTCGCTCTCTCGCTCTCTCTTTCTCTCTCTCTCTCGTCGTCGTCGTCGTCGTCATCGTCTCGACCTAATTCGCGGACGGAGGAGCGGTCGGTCTCGCACGCCCGAAGCGTCCCTGAGCACCAAGGACGCGTTCTCTCGCGTTGGTGAACCGCCGGTCTCACGAGGTTACGCTAGGTTGCAGCCGGCTTAGATCGCCGCTACTCGAGCAGGTAGACCTATGACACCCCGCGCGACCAAGGACTCGTATTTTTCTATTTTTCCCTCGACGAACATTCTCGACTCGACAGTGAGACCTCTAAAGAACCTCGAAATATTCTCCAATATACGAGAAACTTTAAGAGGTTCGCATCGCGGAAACTAATATCCGTGTGCTTATACATGACAAATGATTTATATTATATTTTATAAATATTATTTTTTATATATATTATTAAAAATAATTTTCAAATTTTTTATACATTGTAGATATTAAAATATACAATGAGAATGATGGTATAAAATTATTTTAGAAAAAAAAGCGCGGATAACCGCTTTAGATACCAGAAATAAAATATTCGAGATCGATATCTCTGATCAAAAGGGACTTTCTCGAAATGAGCAAACAATTAAATTCGATTAAGGTGACTGTGTAAATTTTTTTTCGTGCGATCGTTTGATGAGAAATTATTCTTTCTTGTTCTTTTCTGATTTATCGAACCATTGATTAGAGAAAAATATACAATTCCCCTTGCAATTATGTATTAATCGACGCAGGAATCAATTTCGATTTAGATAAATAAAGCAGGAGTACAAATGCCATTGCATGCAGCAACACGTTGTCGCAATCCTTCGTACATTATGTGGCTGTTCAACTTTGTGCCCGATCGATTGCCAGGTCGGTCGCGTCAAAGTCCATAGTACGACCGAACAAGCATAATCGCGGACTTCTCGAGGTTAACGCAAGTGCGATGAGCTCCTGACTCTGTTCGCTGGATCCTGCTTAAGGAATCTAGCAAACAGAAATGAAATCAAGACAGAATAAAATCAACAGAAATTAAAATCAAGATGAAAAATAATGGAAGATATTGAAATAAAAAAAACAATAATGGCGTTACATCTTCTGCTTTTTTGAAATGCGTTCAAATAAAATAATATAAAATAATATAAAATCAAATCAAAACAAGTAATACAAAATAATAAAATAATATACTTGACTATTGCATTTTAAATGGGCCCCCAGTGCCGACACTTTCCATAAAACAATATTTGACAGAGTACTATAATGTGTAGTATACGTATAAATCTTTTTATGATTAAATTATCTTTGTGCGAAATTAGCTTTTAAAGCTTATATTAAAGATAATACAATTTTCGGTCGTTTTCTTGCAAGAATATGTAATGTGAACTTTGATTTTTTAGATTTTTTAAAGTTTGGCTCTGATATTTATCAAAATAAATTTACACTGCTTTTGTGTCATATTTTAATAAAAAATATTCCTGAAAAAATGTTCGTTTTTAATTTCGAAATTTATCGGTTTCACTTATTTTTTCAGAAAAAATTAACAGGTTTCTTCATATATGTTTCGTATCTTGTCATCATCGAACGCTTTGTGCAATATTGCATTTGCGCATGCATATGCCATTATTTTAGAACATGATCCAAGCGATAACATTTCTTCGATATCGATAACGAACGTTCTCCTCGCATTCAACGGTGCAATCTCCTTAAGACCAGACCGTATTTCAACATTCACGAGTTATGATAGCACGAGTGCAATTGTGTTGATTTCAAAGTGTATTTTAAGTGTATTTTATTTCGATCGAAAGAATGTCAAGTTCAATCGAGGCACTTTTTTTTACTGCTGCTGTTACGTTTCAGCGATCAAATAGTTGCGTGAAATTTAATTAAAAAAAAAAAAAAGGAAACTTTTTTTCGTCTCATGTCTCTGCATCTATGATTGCAGGTTTAAGCGTTATCGCGTCATGAACTTTCTTATTCGACGAGACAGGAAGCGTTTGCGTGCAGGAGTCAACGAGGAACACCGAATTTCTGCTTGGCGCGGATAGCGGCGAAACGACCTTGAAATCGCGAGATGCGACAACCGTGCGCACGTGGCCGAACTAACACACTTATTATCGGGAGGAGTCCTTTGAGTGATACCGTTTTCCTTCGCGAGGATACGATAAGTTTTTCACGTGCATTTACACTAGCCATTTCCTCCATCTGCAAATTTTTCGTGTTCAATTGCATTTCACGACTCGATCGTCGTCGCAACATCATGAAGGACGATGTCAATTCCCTTAGAGCACAGAATAATATTGCTGCAATGTTCTGTGCTGTATGGGTTTGCAAAATTTTTTTAAAACGACAAGAAGAATTTTAACAAGGAGGAATGTCGCGATAATTGATAATCAGATTTTTTTAAAACGACGAAAAGAAAAAATTTTTTGTCAATTTGCAAAATTTTTTTAAAACGACAAAAAGAATTTTAACATCGCAAGGAGGAATGTCGCGATAATTGATAATCAGATTTTTTTTAAATGACAAAAAGAATTTTAACATTGCAAGGAGGAATGTCGCGATAATTGATAATCAGATTACAAATATTAAATATTAAAGCTATTAGATGCTCTATTACAGATTATGCAACGATATAATTAATAAAACAAATTATAAGAAGAACAGATTACAAAAATAGATCGTGTAATACCGACTCTGGGCGTGATACCAACATTAGAACAACCTAGCAGTCCCTCCATTTTTCTTCTATTATGTTAAATGATGAGGGACAAGAATTTGGACGAATGGCTGCAGAACACGTTAGAAAATGCCTCGACTCAAAAACTGAAGGAACAAAAGTTTCTTTATTGCGAAGAAAATACGATGGCTTCGAAGCATCTTGAGGTTTCTCAGAGTCTTGCAGTCTATATTATTTCTCCGCGTCTTTCATCATGTACATATAAAATAACCTGATTATCAAATTAAGGAGATAGTAAAGCTCTCTCATATTTATTAAAAATTAATTTTCTGATTGTTGGGCACGATTCTTCTTGATTAAACCGAATAAATTTAATCTCAATTCGAGATTTTTAATACCTCCCAAATTGACCTGATATTTTTTCGCCTACAACTTTCTTGGGGGGATAAGAGGGGTATTAAAAATCTCGAGTTGAGATGAAATTTAATCAAGAAGAATCTGTGCCCTGCGCACAAGAATCAGTTTCACAAAAAAAAAATAATTTTTCTGTAAAACGTACCACCATCCGCGTCTGACTCTTGTAGCCTTCGATATTTATTTTACAAATATTAGAATATTATTCAGAATAAAGAAACTTTTATTCTTTCTATTGGTTTTTGAGTCTAAGCATTTCTTTGCAACCATTTGTCCGAATTCGTTCCACCCATGGAACCCATGGAGACCAATTCCATGTTAGACGAATTCGTCCCACCCATGGAGACCAATTCCATGTTAGACCCTAACATGGAGTCTAATATGGAAGGAAAATGGCGGAAATGTGTTAGACAATGGTTCTTACGCCGGTATCGCAAAGAGCCGCATAAGCATTACACTATAGTTCTACAGTACCTCTATAGTTTAGTTCCTTCCAAAATGAAGCGAAAAAGATCAATTCTGTACCGGTTCGATTTTTTTTCAACATATCCGATATAAGAGACTTCATATGAAAGTGAAATCTCATTAGAAAACTTCTATAGAGATTAAAACAGCTTTCGCTTTCGAGAAACGAGAAAAAAAGACGGGAATAACGAGAACATGAATAATAAAAAAAAAAGTGAAGCTCAGGCGTTGGTTGCCAAGGCGGCAACCAATCGAGCGGTTTAGATAGAAATGGTGACTCACCACGGTTCAATCTCATTTTCAACGGTGGCGAGACCAAGCGCCCTAAAAAATACAACTTTTTCAGGTTCTTTTGTCTCTTCGGTTACGACGCAATTGGTGCTGCTGGCGGTGCTGGCGCTGCTGGTATTGCTGGTGCTGCTGTCGCTGGTGTTATTGCTGGTCTCGCCGACATTCGCTTCCTCCGATCTCGCATCGCGTGGTCCCTCGTCGGCGCGGTTCGGGGTGGCCGTTTGCTGCCCGTTCGGTCGAAGGAGAACGCGCTTGGGAATCGGGACCTTGATGCGACTCGCTTGCGCGGATCGCTTCTTCTCGTTCTCGTTGAGCAGCTCGAAACACGGCTCCACGCGGACCGGCACGAAGACCGTGGGCACCGCTCCGAGCCGCAGTCGGTTCCGCTTCTGGTTGCCCTGCATCATCTGCTCCCTGCTCTCGTCCTCGTAGAACTCCACGAGGAAGTGGCGCGAGCAGACGCGCGCCGTGTTGATGTTGAAGGGCGCCTCACCGTTGGCGAGGGGCTCGCGGCCGCATGCGCGCACCCACAATTCGCGCACTTCTGGCTTATGAGGGAACCGGTGGTAGCGGACCGATTGCTTGCGGGTCCGGCGATGGCTGTTGCGACACGTGGAGACGGCACACTGCGGCATCCTATCGAGAGCGATGGAATTAAGCACGAATAGATGACGTTACCTCGGGCGCGGACACGATCTCAGTGAAGGATGCGTCTTCTCCGGGTTCTTAACCCTCTTCGGTCACTCCCTCTACCGGTGCGTTCATAAGAAGCGAGACGGGTGGTTTTCGACCAGTGTTGGACCCGCGAGTTTCTTTGGTTTCCTTACTTATCTCTTTGGACTTTGCCCGTCCCATTGTTTGCCCGACATTTTTCTAGGAGCAGCAAGGGAAGGAAAATTTTCAAAGTCGGAAAAAGAATTTAGGCTGATAAATTCAGTATTGAAAAATACGTAAAATAAATTATAGATTTTCGCTGGGAGTACTGGATATCGAAACAGCCTTAATGCGCACAGGAGAAACAAAAGGGAGAAAAATATATACGATATTTGAAAAAAAAAAAAAAAAAAAAAAAAATCACATCTAAGATTAAATAAAAAATCTAATAACGAGAAAGAGAAAGAAAAATCGATGATTTATGATAAGGGTAGGCAGGTAGGCAGAGATGAAGGTACGACCGGGAATGCATTGAAAAAAATAATAACGCTCAGGCAAATACGTAAAATCGTTAAACTTTGAACTTGAGTCTCTCTTCTCGACTAATTAGGATCTTCGAGTCGAAAGATAAAGCGAGCAAGGGGTGGCAAAATTAATAATGCGAAAGCGAGAAGACGGGACGAAGAAAGGGGGAGGAAAGAGGAGGAGGGCGCGAGCGAGAGGGGAAAAAATGGAGAGATGAAGCGCGCAACATCAAACAATGATACACGCGGATGGGATCGAGTGCGTGGCGTTCGCGAGAGGTGTCGCCTTTTGTACCCTACGCGTTACGATGATCGACTACCCGCTGCCATCGAGATGGCGTTGTAAGTGATAGAATAAATAATCAAATGACCGACCGGCCGGCCGGCGTCCGAAGCGGCGTGGAGAACGCGATTGAGGGGAGAGGCGGCACGAGAGAAAGGGGGCGAGAGAGAGAGAGAGAGGGAGAGAGAGAAAAAGACAGAGAGAGACTCACCTCTTAAGTGGATCTTGGTGACACCGGAAATGAACGCGTGTATACGGGTAGAAAAGGATTGATGGAAAGGAACGCGAGAGATGAGAGTCACGTGAGAAAGCACCAACGAAATATCGCGCGACGAGCGATAACAAGCGGCAGGACGCCGAGGACGGAACGCACGATGACACACGGGGTGATTACGCGCCTCACCCGCACTCGCGACGCTTCTCCACCGAACTGACGTCTTGTTCCGATCGGCCTGTAGCGTAAGAGGTGGCAGCTGCGTGTACCGTGCCTGCGTGAACCCGGTGAACCAATGATCGTGCTCCACCGTTCCCGTCGCGGCAGGGATGACGAGGAGGACGTCGTGGAGGGGGAGGGGCAGAGGGGCGCGCAGCAACCTGGGGTTGCAAGGAACGGCCGCGTGCGCGAAGGCCGTCGGCCTTCGAAGGGATAAACGCGGGGGAGGGAGGAGATCGTGGAGGAGCGCGAGGCTGTTGCGAACGAGGGTCCTTTCAGGGTCCTTTTTCGGCACCCTCGTGGCGCGCACGCCTTCCGCGTTATCGTCGACCCGGCCTCTTTCACTTTCACTTTCTCTTCCTCTTCCTCGGCCCCGACGCGTTTTTCCATCGCCTAGCGTCTCGCCGCATTCCTCGGCGACGGCGTTCGATCGGTACCTAAGGATCCCTGGTCTCCGGGATGAATAACAAATATGTCATCGCACCGTCGCTTTAGTTTCTCAATATCGCTTTCTTTGTCCTTCTATTCTTTGTCTTTCACCTTGTTTCCTGATTAGCCCTTCTTTTCTTCTCCGCGTGATCGGGATTAAATTTTGTTGTCTATATTATTACCCCGCGCGCCTTGTGTCGAATGTATTTTACGATCAAAATATATACCATCGAGAGATCTCTCGAAAAATGTGTACGTTAACATTTTTTCGAATTTTTCAACCTTTCAAGTTAGGTTTTCCGATTGCTTCGATTTTAAGTCTATTTATTATAAATATTTCTATAAACTGTCCTTGGGGGGAGATTTTTTATCGTACAAGTTTTAATTTTTTCCCTTTCCTAGTACAACATTTTCTCGTCGCGCGTTATTCCAATCATCTAAATGATTTCGAATCAGAAACTGATATCAGAGAGTATTGAGATATGCACATTCCTCTAACTGTGCACTCTCGGCGCGACAATTATTTGTAACGATTATAGTCATCGAAGGATGAAGAGACTTCGGGGGCTAACATAATCTTTATATCAACCAACTATATCAAAATTTTATATCTAATAATATCAAAAAGAGATTGTATTTTCGATATAATAATTCAATATGATAATAATTAAAATAACAATCCGAAAAATAAAAATCTAAATTATTTCGTCTAATGATGTATTTTCGGAATTTTTGTCACAAGAAAAAGAAGCTTATTTTTTGAAAAATGTATCGAATGTGACTATTCTTATATAAGATTTCTAAAACCTCCTTCACCTCCAAAAGGTACAATAAAAATTCTCTAAACACATACTCTTGAAAAGCTGGAAAAAAGAAAGTATTCTCCAAAAAGAACGAAACATTAACATTAGCAAACTGCGTTATCGTGATTAATTTGACGTATCGATCGCGATAGAATTTCGACTGCAATAAAGTCGAATTTTTCCTCTTCCTTTTTTTCTTTTATCCCGTAAAATATTCTGGACAAGCCGATCGATAATAATAATAGAAACGATTCGGCATTTACAACGTAATATCAAGAATCCGTGCAAATAATGAATATCTCGACGGGTCTGGCGAGAGATTTTAACGCTATCGAAATAGGTCCAGGAGCTTGTCCTCCGACGTCTCCTGAATTATTAAATCTTTCCCTTAAATATTATGAGATACGAAATTGTCGATGAATAATAAAGTCAAACCATAACTATTTTTTTAGACTCGTATTATCAAACTTTTGATTCTATCTTTAATATATTTTTAATTAAATCTATTTAAAAAATATCATATTATAGTAGAAATCGAGAAGCATAGTAGTAAAAATCGTTAAAATAGTTTAACCGGTGAAATCCATTGAGTACAAATATTGGAAACATAATATCATGGTCAGTTGTATTGTTCTCACTTGTTCTCCACTCAGGGAGCCTTCCTTCCTAAAAAAATTTCTTTTAGTATTACTTTCTTGTAACAGTTAATTGATTTATAATCCGACCAAAATATTTGAAAGAAAATAAACTTACATTGTACATAATTTGTTTTACTATTATTCTTTGTCAATCTTTTGTTGGTTTCACCATTAAAAGTAATAGTTACATCAGCTTGATAAATGTCTCTGAAAATTTATTTAAGATATTTTCCAAGCTTTATTATACTAGAACGTCAATATATTCGCATTAAATGAAAAGAAAAATAAGTGGAATATGGCCTAAAAATACTTATCGATTAGCTACGATACTTAAAAAATACCTGCTATAATAATTACGAGGCTTTAAAAATATTTACGAAATATTTAACAAAGAAATATTTCAGGAAATACCTAAAAACAGATGTCTAACAATTTGTTAAAATTTTATTTTCCTGGAAAAAAAAAAGTTCATCACGGTACTTCTCGACTGCTAGAGAGCGATTTGGAGGCGTCTTCGCGGAGGCTCCGGCGAGCAACGTTTTTGCATCCCGTTCTCCTTCTCCCGATCGTTCGCGTGGGTCTCCCGATCGAGCGAAGGGAAGGAGCCGCCGAAAAGAAGAGCGACCGCGCACGGAGGAGGCCTGCGTGGCTTCGGTTCACCAAGCGGCCGATCAAATAAGGACAGACTCATTTCCGGTGTTCTCGCTCTCTCGCCTCCTCCTCCTGCACGCGACTCTTTTCGGTTCTTTCGCTCAATTTTCGTCACGACTTTCGGGCTCGTGTCGTGAGGTTTTTCATCATTTCAAAACGCACTTTGATCGTAACACTGCCAAGATTAATTCGAGTTAACTGAATTATTTTAATTATTTAGTCTTATTTTTATTATTTTAATTATTTATTTCTTAGTATTTTAATTATTCAGCGTCTTCGAGAGTTTAAGGAAAATTATTTTCTCTTCGAATAAGAGATATCGACGTGTGAAAATTAAATGATAGATTCTAAGGACGCTGCGTAAAAAAATATCGCTTTTAATCGGTAGAGAAATAAATTTCCCCAAGTCTCGATATTTTTCAGACGCCGCGACCACTGATTTCCCATGGTTTCACTTTGCGATTCATCTTCTTTCGAGCGTTGAAGGCGAAGCCTCGGATAAGATCCTTTGACGAAACATTTCGGATGGAAGCCGTTATCCGAATAATCCGAATGATTTGGGCTCGCTGGGAATACCGACCGGCCGGATCGCGTTAGAGTTCCCTCGGATACCTGGTTCCGCAAATATCTAGGGGCCTGCGCCTTGTTCCCATCATCGGCTCCTCGCGGCCCTTCCCGCCGGAATATGCGGCCAGAGAGACAGAGAGAAAAGGGAGCCCCGGTTCACTCGCTCGCTCTCTCACAGCCGACACCCGGACACTATCCTTCGCCCTCCCGTGGCTCTCGTGCGCGCAGCTCGATTCGCCGCCGCCGCCGCCGTCACCGCTGCTGCCACCGCCATCGCCGCGACGCACAGCTGGCGCAGGAGGGAAGCGGCGTCGTCGGCCCCGTGGCCACCAGACGCGCGCCTGGAGAACGACGAAGGATGATGCGCAGCTGCGGCGAGCTGAGAGGATGAAGTGGGGCAGGTCGAAGAAGAGTTTCAGCGCCCACGGAAAACGGAGAGGCGATATCTTGTACGGCGAACAGACAGGCTGCCAGGCAGACATCGATGAATTTTTGCTCCGATATATATATATATATATATATATATATATATATATGTGCGTCATTTCCCCCTCCCCACTGAGCAATTTATTTATTTAAAAGGGCGGGACCTTTGTAAACACCCTGATTTCGGTCCCTTTCAGGTGAATTCTGACAGAGAATTATGGAAGAAGA